ACACAGGTGCACACACAAAGAACACTCACACACAGCCCACACTGCACACACACCCACATCATACATAGGCACACACATGAAACACATACAGAGGGACGCACACACCCACACAACACATCCCACATCACGCATGCACACACAACACCCACACCCCACACTGTCATACATTATATATGCGGGCACATGTACAGATAGGCATGCACATGATTATGCAATACCCCCCACATCATACACACACACATTCACACCTGCACATCCATAACACCTATAGTCAGGGTCACACACATACATCATACACACAGGTGCACACACAAACACAGCTCACACACACAAACATTCCACACCCCACATCACACACACACACATTCACACCTGCACATCCACAACACCTACATTCAGAGTCACACACATATATCATACACAGGTGCACACCACAGAACACTCACAGCTCACACTGCTCACACACACACATTCCACACCCCACATCACACACACACACGCGCGCGCACGCACACACACACACACACACACACACACACTGTCCTGGGCATTCAGTGTGGAGCAGTTTTTACCTCACCCCTTTCCTGGATGATCCTAACTGAAGACCGATGAAAATATAAGCAGGGTTTTTTTTGGACCTTCCAGATAAATGATATTCTCTGGTTGCAACATTTCGCTGAGGTCAAAGGAGGCAAATCTGCAGCATGTTCACTTGAAAATCAAGTAGATCAGAACCATAACGAACTAGCTATTTCTTAGGGTTTTTTCCTTTGAACAAATTCTAAATCCTTCTTTTGGAGAAACTGGATGCCTCCAGATTCTTATAAAAATACAAGTTAAACAAAACATAGCAGTGTATAAATGAGGACTGTCATTTTAGTCACCATTCCCTCATAGTCCAGGAAGACAGGGAATTGCGCAGAATATCCTGATAGAAAAAAGTTTCTACCAACCGCTGGACCACCCCCAAATACTGCTTAGGTGCTGACAGCATGGACACAGAGACCCCAGACCCCCAGACCCCTGTGCAGATGTGCACAGCTTCATGATTCAAGGGGGACTGTTAAAAGGGAAAGGCGGCTAGGACGGCCCCACAGTTCTGGTCCCTGTCTGTGTGTGAACGCGTGCACATTGGCGCGATCTGTGTGTGAAC